GAACTTCGGAAGGTTAACGGAATAAATTTCGGACCGAGGTAGCTGCTGAAATTGCTGCTGTTTTCTGGGCAGCAGCTGTTAGAATCGCACCTGCGTAATTATGGGCGCAGGTGTGACCTCGCAGAAGCGAGATGAGCATCGCAGAAGCGAGATCATGAAGGGTGGCAGCTCATCGCAGAAGCGGACAAGTTTGCGCACCTGCGACATCGCAGGTGCGATCACTGGAACGCAGGTGCGAAATTTCTTAGACACTTCTATTTTAATTACACATGTTGGTGTCAGGACAAGTTTACATGCTAGAAGATTTTTGTTGAGTAAACTGATATACAACTGCAAATTTGAGAATAAAACGTCAATATTTAGGCTCTACTATGAAAAATAAATAGAGATGCTTTACACTAAGCTTACGAGATAATAATGAGAAATGAGGAAGATCATGGCTGCTGGGCAGTACACCGTGGGACTTTGCAGCAGCGTTTTTGGCTCGCAAAAGCAACCCCGAAGAAATGAAGCAGCTCCTCACAGAAGCAAAATTGGCCATGGCTGGGGAAGGCATCGCAGCAGCGTACAAAGAACCTGCAGAAGCAGGAACTTTGCGCGAAGCGGAAAATGCTTGCGCAGGTGCGAGCGTTGGACTGTCCATTGTTGATCGCAGAAGCGACGCTTTTGTCGCAGAAGCGACTCCGCAAGCGCGCAATTCAATCCGCAGAAGCGGAAATGACAGAAACATAAGGCATCGAAAATCAGTGACTTTTTATTTCGTTTTGAGAATTTTTGGAGCTCGGTTCTTGGGCGATTTTGAGGTGTTCTTTATGATTTCGACTCAAGTAAGTGTCCTATACACGAATATGTTTGTATTTCATAAATCCATGTTTATTTTCATCATTTATTTCGGATTTAAATGGGAAAATCAAGATTTTTGAAAAACTTTTCAAGAACGAAAATTCAAGATTTGGAGGTCAAGTTGTTATTGGAATTTAATAGAATTGGTATGGTTGAACTCGTATCGGAATGGGTTGTCGGATTTTGTGAATTTTTTTTTGGAATCCGGGCACGTGGGCCCGAGGGCGATTTTGTCAACTTTTCGAACGGAGTTAGGAATTTATCTAAATTGAATTATGTGAGTATTAGAGCATATGTTTATGGATTTTCTCATTTATTGGCTAGTTTTGGAGCGTTGTGCATCGATTTAAGTCGTCGGAAGGGTTTGAAAGCCGGTTTTGGAACTTCAGAGCGAGGTGAGTCTCCTTTCTAACTTTGTAAGAGGGAATTGTCCCCGTGAATTAATTGGATATGTGCTCCTATTTGTGGGGGCTACGTACGCACAAAGTGACGAGAGTCCGTGCGTAGCTACTATTATGTGTAAGTCCGGGTAGTCTAGGACCTAAAAGCATGCTCTACTTGTAATATTTGGAATATTGTTGTCGATTTAAAATGCTTAAATCATATTGAATTGGTAAATAATTTTCTAAAGGAATTAAACATCATTTTCTTGACCGTTAAAGAGAATTGCTATTTCTTTGGGTAATTGTTTTTCCCTGATGAAGTCTTGATTGACTGTTTGAATGCGTGTTTCTATGTGTACCTGCGTCGCATGTATGATTCACGAGCGGGGTGATTGTTTATTTATATTTGACCGCGTCGCATGTATGATTCGCGAGCGGGGTAATAGATGCATCTATGGTTCGCGCCATTCGACCCTCTGGCAGTGCACATTTTAAATATTGTTGGATCGGGCCGTACATCCTCGGCATGATTTGCGCATGCTTGTATTGGTTGCCTTGATATTTATAAATGAGGATATTGCTTCCCCGGATTGAGAATAAATGTATAAATGATGAAAACGAATTTGGAAATTCTCCTATGAATAAGAGAATTGTTTACTTGCTTCATGCTATTGAGTTACAATTATTTTTTATAAAAATCCTCGATTTACTATATTGTTGGCATATTATTATTGGACCACTAGTAAGTATCGAAGTCGACCTCTCGTCTCTACTTCTTCGAGATTAGACGGGATACTTACTGAGTACATGTTGTTTTTTTGTACTCATGTTACACTTGTTGTGCATTTTTGTTGCACAGGCACATACCCATAGCGGCCCAATGGGCGTAGCAGCATGGATGATACGGAGACTTAGGTGAGCTGCATCTCTCGAGGCGACCCGCAGCCGGCATAGTCTCTTTCAATGTATAGTATTTACCTTCTGTCCAATTTGTATTCCGGACAATTATTGCACTTCATTTGATTTCCTAGAAATAGCTCATGCACTTGTGATACCGGGTTCTGGGATGATTATGGGATTATTAAATATTAAGTTTGTTAAAGACATCATCTTATTTCAATGAATTTCATTATTTATTGTTTAATGTATAAAAGGAATGATTTCAATAAATACTAAAATGAGAATTCAATTAACTTCTTGGTGTTGGCTTGCCCGACAGTGGTGTCCGGCGCCATCACGACCTTAGTGGATTTTGGGTCGTGACATAATAATTTCTTCATATCTCATTGATTAATCTTAGATTATGAATAATATTCTACTCCTATTTGCTATATAATTCTTAGTAGTAATTATTTACATAATTAGCCACATAGAAGCAACAATTATCAGTTTCATAATTTTATAATTTTTCCATTAACTTTCATTTTATACTTAAATATAAATTTTAAAATAATATTATGTGATCTTTTAAAAAATTTGTTTTCTTGAGTCAAGGTTCACGCGCAACGCACGTATCTTGAAATTAGTAACATAATAGTATGAGCGGACTTATGAGAAGATAGAAATGTCAAAAGCATTGGTTTTTATACGTGTTCATATCTATGAGTATATAATTTTAAATAATAGTTAAATGATATATTTGAGTGATAAAATAAAAACTATTGAAAAAAGTATAAGTTATAAAAGTTATTGTTATTTATATGACTTTATACTAAATACAAACAAATAACACGAAAATATTTTATCATGATTCTTTAAAGATTTGTCAAAAAAAATAAAGTAATTTTTTTTGTTCTTTAGAGTTATAAAGTGGATTGTTTTGGTCTTTTAGAGTTTTCTTTTTGTTTGTTTGTTTTTTTGTTGCTAAAGGTCTTTTAGAGATTTGAGAATGGAGAGGTTGATCATATATAGCTCATAAGAAAAATTGACAAGTAATGATATAGGGTGTGTTTGGTATAACGAATATTTTCCATGGAAAATATTTTCCAAGAAAATATTTTCTTGGAAAACAAGTAGTAATTTTATTTATTTTTCGGTGTTTGGTACGCAAATTAAGGAAAATGACTTCTCAAGAGTATTCATAAATAATTTAGATATAATAAACATGAAACCATAAACCTTCAAACCAACAACCTTACGGACCCACAAATTTCATAAACTTTCAAAATTGCAGAATTTCGAACCCGTAAACTTTATAATTTCTAAACCCGTAAACTTCCAAACACATAAACCTCCAAACTCATGATTTTGAAACTTGTAAAATTTTGAGCCTTTAAACCGATAATTAATAAAATTAAAACTGAAAAATATATTTAAAATTTTTTTGTCGGGGGGAGGGGGGGGTTGGAGGGGCAGGGGGCAGGGGCAGGGGGTGGGGGCAGGGGCTGGGGGGGCAGTAAAACAAACAAAAAATAGAAATTTAAATTACAAAAGTGAGTAATTTTTTTTTTAGTGCGAGGGGGGTTGGGGGGGCAGGTGGGGGTGGGTGCTGGGGTGGTGCAGAAAAATAAAAAAACAGAAATTTGAAATTGCAAAAAAAAAAAACTGTAAGGTAAAAAAAACTTATTTTTTTTAGCAGGGGTGACGGGGGGGGGGCGGTGGAGGGGTAGTAGGGTGGGTGGTAACGAAAAAACTGAAATTTGAAAAAAAAAAAAACTTTTTTTGGAGAGGGGGTGGGGTGGGTTGGTGAGGGTGGGGAAGGTTGAGAAGGAGCTTTGGAAAATGTTTTCCCTTCTTTTGATTTCCAAAACATTTAAGCCAACCAAACATGGAAAAATTGGAAAACATTTTCCTTCGTACAAAACACACCCATAATGTCTAAAAATGACTAATGTTTAGTTAATATTTTACAAAATAACTTAATATATAAAAACATAAAGAGATGTCATTTGTTGGAAAAAAAAGGTTTAATTAATTACAACTCATTTAATTTAGAATACATTTACTGCTCTTTTATGCTTATTGTTTCTAGTTTTTATTTTAGTATATTTGGTTCGTAATAGTATACTATAATCAATTTCTTTCCCTGTCAATAGTCTTTCTTATGAAAACAAATTCAAGTACTCAACTGTCAATTTAACAAATAATTTTACTTTTATGATGAATTTTAAAAATAAATAATTTTTTATTTATATAAATAAATCTAATGGTTCAACGAGCATGAAGGTCCAAAAATAAAATAGTCGTTGATTCTTTACTATGTTAGAATAAATTTTATCTAAAATAAAATTTAGTACTGTATTCGATAAAACTGTAATTACGATTAATATTTCCAATTTAGGTCGAGCTATATATCTTATACATTTTTAATTTATATCTTACACTTAGATTATATCAAAGTAAAAAAATCGCCAGTTAAAAATTCATAATATATTTATCTGCATTAGCATATCTCATTTTTATTTTATAACTCAAGCAAAATTTTTAATATGATACTAATGCGGTCACATTTAAAAAAACAATTATTGTGACAGGGTATACGCGTAAAGTGCGTATACTAAAACTAATATTATACACTAAAAGGTACAGGTTACAAGGTTTTGCATAATGAGAATATATACAGTAAGCATAGTACTACTGTTTTATCTAACGAACATTTTTCCAAACTAGAATAATAACCCATTAAAAACGACAAAATTAACTAAACATATTCTTAGGCCTCATTTGTTTGGACTGGGTCTGCATCTGAATGAACCAGATCAGCCCATTAAGTATATTTGTTTTTTTATTTTTAAAAAGTCTGCATAGGTCTGATTGGGTCTGATTTAATTGAGTCTTAATTCCGTTGAGAGGTTAAAAATACCGAAAATACACGCCTCTTTTTTCTCTCTCTTGACATCAGGCTATTTCTTCTAAACCCAAAACAAATTTCATCCTTCACGTCTCTCTCGCAGCCGCCGAATCTTTTTCTGGGTAAGATTTTGAAAATTATACTTGAAATTCTCCATCTTGTTTCCACTTTTCTAATGGTAAATTTCAGTTTCGAGTTTAGGGTTTAAGAAAACCCCTTTTAAAATACGATTGAGAAGGTGCTAAACTAGAAGGTTTTGCCTGCCTCTTATTTGTGTCTTGTTCTCACTTTTGGATATTTTGTTTTTGATTGAATCTCTGAATTTTCTGTAATTTTTCTTGATTTTGTTGACATCCCGATTCTCTAAATCGTAAATCTTAATTGGGACGTGTTCTAAATTGTTAGCAATGTTTTTTTCTCTTTTGCAAATTCACATAGTCCCTTTTGAACGTTCTTTTGTTTTCTTCAAGAATTGCATATTAGTGACTGAAATTCAATTTCTCTAGTTTTTTGAAATATAAATCGTAATTGGTGTTTATGAAGCTCGTCCAAAATTAAGAAACTTTGCTATGGCTAGAATTCGGATAATGAAGTTCTGTGTTGTTGAAATTAGAGCCGCTATAGTTTCATATTTGGCTAGAATTCGGATAATGTATACATAAGTAAGATTTATATTTCAGTGCTTTCTGAATATTTATGTGCTATTGCTCTTGAATTATTCGTCATATGTTACATGTTTTATAATTAAACCATGCTTTCTTTTGTTTATTCAAGAATAGCTTCTTTACTTCCTCAATTTTTTTCCTATTTTGTGTTTAAGATCATACCATTTACTACATCTTTGCAATCTTCAAACAGATTATTTGCTTAGAAATATACAACTTATCTTCATGGGTGGCTCAAGGGTGAGGCTAGTAAAGCCTTCGCTTTAGTATTTTTGAGGCCCCAAAAAGTGTTGTAAAATACATAATAATATTTTGACTTAGACAATTCTGAACTTTGTAGAAAAAAGTATAAAATCCGTGTAAAAAAGGTTTTAAAAAAACAAAGAATATTTACTTTTTAACATAAGAAATATTCTAGAACTTCGAATTAAACTACTCAAATCTTTGTATTAGCAAATAAAGTTTTTTACATCAAGATCCAAGATAATGCATTGCAAACATATGGCTAACATCTTACTAATTTGAATTAACACTTGATAATATAAATAATAATATTACTAAATGAAGCTAAAAGTCATATATCTTGTATGAATACTTTACGTTCAAAATATTTTTTTGGTTACATTTCGTTACTACAATTGATGTTATTATATATAATATTCATTTATAGTTCAAATAGTTTAACAATTGGATCTTACATAAAATATTAATTTTTGAAATTGAAATCAAAAGTTAATATTTTATGTAAGATCCAATTGTTAAAATATTAATTTATATCTTATAATATTTCAATTTTATCTCAAATAATAACTTTTTTGTTCAAGTTTATATTTTCACTAATTGATGTAATATTTAATCACTTTTTTTTAATTGTATATATATATATATATATTACGTATTCATATGTTGAAAAACAAACAATCTTAATATTCAGACGTGCATTCAGATTCAAATGTCTTAATCTTAAAAAAAAAAAAAAACCGGGCCTAAAGTAATTCGCAACGAAAATCTTTTAAGCCCTAGTATAAGAAATTTTGTAATCCATTTCCCGGGTAGGATTTCTGAACTTGTACTTTTTTTCCCTAAAACCCCCAAAATTCCAAAACCCTAATTGGTCAACAATATTCATCTCTTCAATTACTTTGGTGTCCAGGAAGTGATGGATGGTGTGGCGGCTCAATGGGACTTCAGCTGGTAGTTTCTCTTCTCTCTTTATACTATAGTTCCTCTTACCACCAACAAATAAATCTTAGTTTACCTATTATGTATATTAAAAGGAGATATTTATGCTCTTTGCCAGTTTTTCTTGGTTTAGCCACTCATTTGAACATACCCTTATGGTTTTATTTGTTCCTTGTTAGAAAGGTTTCTCCTTTTCTGCTGTTTTCTTCTAACTTTTTTTTTTGGGGGGGGAGGGGTACCTGGTTTTCAGGTAATGGGGCATGGCTGAACTATCTGTGTTTCTTTTTTCAGAGGATGGAGGAAACAGAGTATATATATTGCATATATGAATAATATACTGGTCTTATTAAAGGAAACATGTCGCACTATCAACAAGTAATGTCACTCAGATGTCTCCCGTAGTGTATAATAGTTTTGCATCAACACTATTGGAATGAAGTCTAAGCTTCATATAACAATCTAATGCAGCTGATATTTTTCTTCATGTCTATCCTGACCTCTAGAAAAAAAGTGGTTGGCCACTATTGTCAAAATTTGCATTTGTCTAATTCTAATTTCACACAAGTTCACCAGCTTTTAGTGGAGAATTGTGTCTTCATTTTTCGTAGAGGTATCTAATGCTTTGTAAAGTGGTTTATGGACCATATGCGATTCTAAATCTATTTCATTGGACGTGGAGCTTTCGTATAATGTATGTACTTGCTCGGACTTGCTTCTTTCTAAGATACATAATTTCCGTATCCCATTGTTTGACTACTAAGTTAGTCCTCTGAATTTGTTTACAGTCCTTGTTCCGCTCTTCCTTTTTCTTATCCATTCCTTTTGGACCCTTTCTACTTCTTTAAAAGCCTTTCAGAAGATGGATATGCTAAGAATATATCTTTCTGAAGAATCTGAACTGAATGGTAGATGATGTAGACTTCTTTTTTGAATTTTTTGAAGCCTTGTAAGATGAACAAGTCCTTTTGTAATTGTAAATATGACTGCCGGTACCAACTTGGTGCTGATGAATATACATGTTACCTTTCTCAAAAAGAATCTGAACTGAAGAACAGAGTAGTAAACTTTTGACATCTAGTCACTAGAAATAATGAGATTTACTCTATGTTAATGCACTTTTAATTGTATTCCGATGAAAAGGAGTGATGTTGTTTCTTCTTATCTAACTTTATGAGGCGTACTTTTTGCAGCAACTTAGAAGTAGATCTTGGATCTGAAGAAAATGTTGACATTGTCTATACTGCGTTGGCTGTTGATAAAGAGGTAAAATGATTCTTGAGTTTTTTATGCGTTATAGCATATCTTCCAAACCAACTAGTGCTTCAACTCTGTACAATTAAAAATTGCAGTTGCAGCCAGATAAAGTGAAGAGGCATATATCTGTATCTAACGGGAAGCTTTCAGTGTGAGCACTTGTTTCTACCTATGTTGCTCGAACTCTCCAAAAATGTCGCTGCTAGTGTTGGATCCTTCAAAAATAGTGTATTTTTGGAGGATCCAGTATGAGTGCTGCAGCATTTTGGAGAGTCCGCGCAACATAGGTTTCTACTAATGCACTTGCTATTTCCTTGTAAAATTCTGCATCATATAGCTTACTGAAACTTCTCTTGACGCTTGCTTTACAGGCATTTTGAGGCTGTTGAAGCAAGATTTCTTCGTGCATCGTTTAGTGCATTCGTAGATGTACTCACACTCGCAACAAAGACTATTGAAGAATTTGGTCCAAAGAAGGAATAGAGACCTCTACTAAATATTGTTGAACATTGTTTATTTTATTCACTGTGCCATAGAGAGAAAGCCATTTGCTGTTGTAATTGAATGTGGGATATTCCCCACTAATAATCTAAATTTTCAGATTATCTTATCTGTTGATCTTTATCATGTACTTCTCTGAAACTACAAGAAGCCAACGGAGTAGCACTTGATTTTGGCATTAACAAAGATGCTCAAGCAACCTCTTGCAGCTCAAAATCTCGTGAAAGTATATGTATACCCTCTTTCTTAAAGTAAAGTTCAGATGATATTTGTATTCCTTATACTTCAAAAGTTGCACAAGAATTTCATTAAGTATATTTTCAGTGATTCAAAGGGCACAGAAAAAAAAGAAAAAAGGCATTCACAATGCTAAGGATGTTTTTGACTAATAAAAAATTGCAGATACATTATTTTTATATAAAATTGAGAATTATGTGGTAAAGTTGATGCTTCTGTCTTCTTCAATGAAAATACTTTCAAATGGTTATAGCGTTGGCTCTCGTTTATAATTAGTATATATTTAGAATATTAGGAGAGTTCATCACATATATTAAATCTATTATGGATGTTATAGAGGATAACGGTTGCAAAAATGACGGAGAGCGACAATGGATAGGCTAGTTTGTCACCTTCCAGTGAAGTTTTTCATATCTTCAACTTTTACAAAAATTTTATTCCAAAAAACTACAAATATCGAAACACAACTTCAACTTCTAACATCCACAATTTCTTTTTTTCAGCTTCAACTTCAAATAAATTTTTTTTTTCAACTTCAACTCAGATTTTATCCAATCGGTCCGTAAAATCCTTGCTATATCACTTTATAATCTTTCAAGACCATGACCAAGACAACAACTAATCAATTGCTTATAATAGGGTTTACAAACTGCCAATACATTGCCAAAATTTAATATACAATTGAGGAAAGGTAAGCAGTGTAATAACAACGCCGCATGTCCCCGGTTTTCCGTATACAATTGGAGAAGAGTAAGCACTAGTGCAATAACAATAAAGCATTTTCCTGGTTTCCTGCTGCAAGTGCTATCACACCACCTTTTCGGCTTCTTTGAACCTGTACTGTTAATACTCATCTATGTATGTATATAGTGTTTCATCTTTCTTTGATTTGCGTCGGCTGAGCAAAGATTTAAGCAGACGTTTACTTTTGCTGGCGTGCTGCTCGGCGTCTTTTGTGTTTATATCGTCCGCATGAAGCCGCATTGAAGCCGATTTTGCAGGGTACTGCTAAAACACAATTTAACAGTTAAAAAACATGAAAATCAACTACGAACAAGACAACTCGCGGAGCAGGTTGGAGGAGCACAATGTTACCAGAGCACTTCAAAACTTATCAAGACTAGACCTGAATATTAACATATTAAACAAATGTAAAATATAAAAGACCAAGTAATTACCCGTCTCCCATTGGAGGGGTTTGGAGTAGTAGATCGACTTTTATTTGGCGTGGTTGGCCTAGAACTTTTGGGGGTAGTAGGTCGACTAGCAAGTGATGCAGTTCGTAAAAGAGGAAACCGATGTGGTGAAACTGTTCGCTTGTCTGCTGGTACATTAGCGCACAAAGGTACAACAAGAAGAAGAAAACAAATTAATTACAAGCACCGCTGAGAAAGAGAAGGTGGAAAATTATAAGCATTAAGTATTGTAATGCAAGAAAATGACGGGAAGATACCTAATTCCTTTTTTGGTGTTGTCCCGGAGAATGAAAATTTTCCATATTGCTGGAGAAGTCGTGGAGAAGGTGCCGGAGAGTATCCTTTCCTGCAGTATATAAATCTTTGCATGGTCATGAATAGTAAAACATAATAGGAGATGGATAAGATAAACAGCAAGAAAAATTTACCCAGCTGCAGATGGTGGAGTTTCTCTAATGGTTGCTCGCACAGCTACATGAAAAGAGACCCGCTCAGGTCATTTCATTTTTCACAAAGAATCTTAGTGGAAACTCAAACACTGAAGGCAAAAAGCATAATATACTACCATTTCTAAATTGATTCCAATTATCTTCATCGTCAAGACTACATCCTTGGTACTTTAACTTGGTGAGATTAGCGCCATGCACTGTCTCCCCAACTGAAAGGTAATTTTCAAAAATAGCTGAATGTTCCAAATTCTCAGAATTGAGAGTGACAAATACTGCTTTCAGGAACAGATTTGAAAGATATACTCATGAGATGTAATCATAATTACCTGGTAATATATATCGCTTGTGATACTTGGGAGTATGAATAACCAATGACTGCTGTGATAGGCCCTCATGATCAATGTACTCCTGGCATGTTTTTAGTCTCTACAAGAAAACCAGGTAAAACGACTAAGAGCCGAGATATCACAACTCACATTCTCACTATCAAGTACAAAGATAGTAACCTAAGGGAGGATCAACAAGACTGCCGATCTGTAATTTTCGAGCAGACTGTAATCATTTGTCTCAGTACCAGAAAACTGCTTTAGGGCTGCCGGTTTTGGGGGGGGGGGGGGGGATTAGGGTTGGAGATTGCCCAGACACTGTGACTGTTCAGGTCAAGAATGTAGTGCTCAACTTCTTGATCCATTTAGTAGAGCAACAAGATCAAATAGGCATATATCTACACCCATATGCTGGGTCTAAGTCATTCTGACAGTTGAGTTCCAACTCTACATCCAAATTAGGTCCGCGCCAGCCAAAGAAGAAATAAGCCGGAAAAAAAATTAACTAAATCCTGATCACCTGTATCCAATTCTTAAATTCTCAAAGAAAGCCTAATGAATTAGGATCACACCATAACGATATATCACAGCATAAAAGACTCGTAGCTAGCTTCGCTGTTTGGTTTTGTGTATAATCTTCTTGATGAAAGTGTGTGTGCATTCACTTCACTTACAAAACATTAACTAGACACAGAAATCTTCGGACACAAAATATAAGAAAGTTGCACAGCACCAACTGCCAAGCATTTGATATGTCTAAGCATTGGCTCTTTACAGGGTGTTAGCATCTTGCAGTCTTTACAACGATTATCAGTGAACTACATTCCTTCTACCAAATGGAACTCGATAAGTATCTTTACTTCAATTATGGCGTTCTATCTATAAGAAGTGTTGTTGTTATAATATCTGCATACGTTTGTGCAGTCAGGAGGAGGGAAGAGCGAACAAGAACATAATTAAAGGCAAAAAGGTACTTTTCAAAGAAACAGTTGAATATATGACATTAGAAAGAGGATTAGTCACACATATGTTTTTACATAGTGGTCACTTTTTCGTGCAAAGCACCATGGTTTATCCTATCAGAATTCTTTTAACGACGATATTCACAAAGTTTTGATATCCGGAAAAAAAAGCAGGTTATTACCTGCTCAATGCAAGATAGACGCAGCTCTGTTCCAGAAACTTCATCAACTTTTTCATCCAAGAGATCACTGACCTTATATGTCACAGAGCCCAAATGATCCACAGTGTTCACAAGGGCTTTAATGGCATAATCTTTCAATGTATTTACCACACTGTATGAAGAGAAGCATGTCAGAAGCAATACGAAAAAAGACATGGAAAAATCAAATTGAGCTTTCCAGCAAGTCGACAGATAACCCACACTTCTTTTTGCTCGTCATTAGAATAAGACAATTCAAAATATTCAGCTGCTGAGTAAAGTTGTTTTCTCAGATTCTTCAAATCCTGAAGAAAGAAAATGCAAGAAGAGCATGAATTTCAGAAACATATAAGACCAAGATATATAGCAAAAAATTTAAATACCAAGTCAGCAATGAAAGTATTTAAGAATAATCCATATTCTGTACCACTCTTTAGTTTCTTTCTTCAAGATCTAAAATGACCAACTAGCTAGTTTCAATCAGAGATAGAAATTCAGTAAAATAGGCATATATACAGCTTCCAAATTCTAAAACATTGGAATCAAATGTTAGGGATGAAAACTAAACGTAGTCATTTCTACCGTTATCTCGACCAAGAGGCATTAGCTTCCATATATCCAAGATCCTATTTAAAGAAAAATACCAATTTTCAGCTGAGGAAGAGAGGAGGTTACCGTAAGACTATCAGAAAATAGCATGCTTTGATGCATAGAAACCTCATCAAAGTTGGCCGGCTCTCTCGGAAAAGTCATTGTAGCTGGTGAATTTAGTGTCTCCATTGAGTAATTGGTAACCAGTTCTTATCCTGTAACAACCATGACGGCAACGTTTAAAAGAAAGAACGAAAAACGTTGCAAAAAAGCTATTAATTGTTTGCTAATACATCCTTTAAATTCACTTCTGCAACTATTAGTTAGTTAAGATAGGATCCAATGATTCATTTCATTTCAGAAAAACATATACTACTACAGTCCTAAAAAGCAGCTAATGAATCAATCAAAAACAAGCCAACAGTTCACACCAGACAGATACAATAAGAAAATCAAGAAACATTTATGTCAGGATAATTTTACATTATCTCTACAACTAACCTAGAATAATTAAATCATTAAATTTTGATCCCTGGAACTTCAAAAAAGTCAGTCTTTGTCTGAAACTTAACAATTACGCTCTCAATTGTTCAGAACAAACTCACACATATCAGCACCCAATGTAATAGACACTTCAAAAAAGTAAGAAGCATGAAAAAGCTGCAAATTTTGAGTTAAAATGAGAACCCCATAAAACTACAAGATATAAAAACTTGCAAAAAATTAAAGAAGTGGTCACATGGCCAAATTTGAAAATCTTTCTTACATTTTCTGAGCAACCAAATCAAGCAAACCCCACAAAGCAGAACTAAAAAAAGTAACAAAGAACCTAACCTGGAAATTATATTTAAGCTAGTAGAGCTATGAAACCGACACCAAGTTGCACATTGAACAACATGAGTTTGTTAAAAGAGAAATGGGGAAATAAATAGGGCCATTCAATGAAAGAGACCAAATTTGGTTGGTACCAAGAATTTGACTAAACCAAAGGAAAAGGACAAAAAATTATTGTGTTAGATGATTTGTGGGTTATTTGAGAGGATTGATAATGGCAAAGCAACAGAAATGGTGAAGAAGATGGGGACAGCCGTGCATCAAGGCGAGCACGTCTTAGAAATTAGAAATTCAAAAGGTGGGAGAGAGGGTTTTGAGAGAATATTATTAGAATGTGTACTGGTTTAGGAAGCAGAAAAAAGAAATGTGGCCATTCTTGCAAAACCCAAAATTCCTCTTTCTAATCATTACTACAACGTTTGCTTGCTTTTGTTTAGTGGATCATGTCGTCTCTTGTCTACTGTACTGATC